ATCCAGGTGAGAGATGAGAGTGACTCACTCCAGTATCCTTGACAGCTTTCCATGGTTGCTTCCGGTCCTTATTCTCCCATACATCATCCTGATTTATTCTACACATTTACTGAGCACCACCCATGTGCCAAGCATTCCCATTCAGACCTTTGGGCAACATGTGGCAGAATCAAGATCCTGGCAGCTCTGTAAGGATGCACGACAGGAGTCCTCCCATTGCTAGCCAGACCACGGCAAGAAGTCTGTTGATGTGTGGATTTATCTGCCAACTCCAACAAGTCACATATTCTTGGGGGACTCTAATTACAGTTATAGCGTGGGTCAGAAGCTTGTCTCCGCAGCCTGGGCTACCTGTTCCTGTGACTTCAAAGAGTACAGGTTAAATAAGGAGGATCCCCTCCCTCTAATAACTAAGTAGGATAAATGCAGTGTCCCCACTCCCTCCCCAATGGGGGTTACTGTTCAGCTCACCCTTCTACTGCAGGCTTGAAGCCTATACGGTACCTCTTCCTATGTTCTAAATTTTACTGTGGTGATGCTTTGCTTCACAACTATGTAAATATGCTAAAAACTGTTGACCTGTACACTTAAATTGGTGATCTGTATGGTATGTGAACAATATCTAAATAATGCTGTTAGCAAAACAAAAAACAAAAAGGCCACCTCTTTAAAGATGATGGCATTATGGATGAATGAAAGAACAGCAGAGATAGAAAAGGGCCAAAGCTACAGAATCGACAGTTCCCACAGATGTTGCATATTGACGTATCTTATTTTATATTCATAGGCAAACCAAAAAAGTCTCTAAAACTATGAGAAGAAATCAAATCTATAAAGGTTGTATTTTCTTTACAGACCACTCCATCTAAAAACTTAGCCAAAGAGCAGCAATAATAATAATAATAAATACATAAACATTTAAATTCTCAAAAGAGATGTCTTTTTCGAGAAAAGGTGGTTGGATACAAAAGAAGTAAAGGAAATACATTAGTGAAATTCTTCATGTAACCTCCCATAGTTCACCTACGAAAGGTGCAAGCTGAGAGCGCACCCCTCAAACAGTCCTAGAACTTCCACGGTTCCTGGCATTGCTGCTCTCCAGGTGGTCCTCCTTTACTCTCCATATGGGGCAAAAATGAAAGGGTTATGGGGCTGCAAACAGCAAGCAAATGGACCGTAAAATGCTATCTGTAGGGTTTTGTTTTTTTTTTTTAGTTCACTGATTGCACTATATCTGCATTCATAATGATGCAGACAACAAAGGAAGTTCCTTTGACCAGAAGGGTAATAAAGGTTGATGCTATTTAAAATAGTCAAGGTCTTGGTTTAAAGGCAACTGTAGGCTAACATAAGAAGGAAGGAGAATAGGACTGTAGCATCTTGGAATGTGCAATAGTACGGGAAAGGGATTATGGGCACAGGAAGATATCTGCTCCTGACTTTTAGGACAGCAAGTTGTAAAACCTTAGCTATGAGACTACTGCTAAAAATCTAGAGGGGTTATTCAGGAAAGAAGGTTGTGCCTAATGAGAAATTCTCTGTAGACAATCAAGAACAGAGCGCCCAAGAAACACAGCATTACCTAAGGAGATACTGATGTGCTTATATATTATGGGGGCTCTCTGGAAAGCTCAAACTTCTGCTTTAGGAGAAAAATAAACTTTAAAAAGCATCTATGAAGGGTGCAGTTAACAGAGGCTCAAAATGCCAGAGTCAAAAAAAATAAGGTAATGTTGGCTACATTCAAATTAAGAAGAAAACAAGAGGACAGAGTAACAATTTGGGGGAAGGGAGTGTAATGTTCACAGAAGAACACTGAAAAAGGAGCAGCCTATCTCCAGACGGAAGCTGGCTTGTATCTCTCATAATGAAGAAAACGGTCTCCATATTGGGCAAGGCAAACAAGGAGCATGAAGATGGAGCTGGGAGGCAGAGAACAAGAGCACTGTGCCACTTTTAATGACTTCTGATTCTCTCCCTGAGATGGTTCTCACCTCCGGGCACTGGAGAATGGACAGGTCCCTTCTAGATACCATACGGATGGAGGTGGCATTCTTGTAACCATGGCAACAGTCCCCTATGCATATGTACCGTGTGTTATGTTGTATATACCGCCTCCTCTTCCAGGTTTCCCACTGGGCTATTACTACTGCCTTCATTATATACTGAAGCTCAGCATCTGAGTGATCTACCCAAAGTCATATAGCCCACAGGGAACAGGACCAGATGTAGACCCAGCGGTGTGGCCATTTTGTCTGTTCACTACATCTTCAGTGAGCAACTGATAAAATTCAAGCTACATAATATTAACAACATCAGTATTAAGTGCATTTGTAGCAAGATGAATACTGTTAACCATCAAATGCTAGTTACTAAACATCTATCCAAAGGTCATACAGTTCTGGCTGTTCAATCCTCAAATCCCATTTATTCTTCAGACCATCCCCAGGAGGGAGGTACAGATGAGGACCCAAGGCTCCTGGCATTAATTAACTTACTTGGGGTCACCAGTGACTAGTGCAGCAGAGATTTAAAAGTATTGGAATCTATTCTAGCTCTAAACTCTATACTCTTTCCACTACAACTGGCTACTCCTCTAAATGTTATCAAGGACTAGTCTACAAGATGGAAGGTACAGTTAACCCAAATGCAGCAGGCAGAAAATAGGCAATGGCTTTCTCGAGTCCTCAGAAGTTCGATGTTCCAAACCATTTTCATAAGCATGGCCTATGATCATACTCACAAAATCAAAGCCACCTCTCTCCTTTTTACCTAGGTCTAAGTCTTGTGGGAAGAAACACTGAGGGCCTGAGTATAGCAGGGGAAGGAGTAGGGGTGGACAATAAAACAAATAGCATCTGAGTTTGCTGTGATTTTAAAAAGGTGCTCAAAGATTGCCATATTCCCTGAGGCAAGTGTACTTTCCTCCATTAAGGAATAGGCCAGGAGGTTGTTAGCCTGGGGGCAAAGGGAAGATAGAAGCATGGGGAAATAGAGCCTTCTCTATCATCCCTAGTACCACCTCCTGTCCAGTCACTAGTCCTGGCTTCAGAGAGGAACAAAGAAAGCATACAGATGAGAATCTAAGGCTCTTCAGGTTAAGTTTATGACCTGGGGTCAGCAGCGGTGAGTGCATAGCTGTCTAAACGTCTGGTGTCTAAAAATCTGGCGTTTCGGGCGCCTGGGTGGCTCAGTCGGTTAAGCCTCTGCCTTTGGCTCAGGTCATGATCCCAGGGTCCTGGGACTGAGTCCTGCATTGGGCTCCCTGCTCAGCGGGAAGCCTGCTTCTCCCTCTGCCTCTCTCTCTCTCTCTCTCTCTCTCTCTCTGTCTCTTATGAATAAATAAATAAAATCTTAAAAAAAAAGAAAAAAAGAAAAATCTGGTGTTTCAGACTCACAAAAGCACAGGCACGAGCAAGTCCACTGGCGCCAGCAGCAGTAAAGAAAACCCTGCAAGTATAACCATTTGTCAATCAACAAAGGTTTATCGAGCACTTCCTACTGTAGCTAAACACCAAGCAATGGGTAAGCACTGGGAACAAAGCAGAGAATGAGACAGACACCGTGGCTATCTCCGCGGAGCTTATAGTCTATAGGGGGTCCCTGAAAGCTAGGAATGGAGTTGAATCTTTATCACACCGCTGAGTCTCCATTAATTCAGAGTGTTTCAAAATTCTGAGAAAGAATTATTAATCAAAAAACAAAAAAAACACCACTACTTACTTTTAAGGAGCCCAGTAATGTAGCAACTGTTTATTTTAGGCACTGGCTTCGGAAATTTGATCAGATGTATGTCTTAATAAAAATATAACTTGCTGAATATTTAAAAATCCACCAATTGAAACTTTCACCTTCTAAGAAATTTAAGTCAGCTACACAAAATTAGTCCAAGTTGACCATAGAGGGTATAGGTAATACTTCATACTAGAACATATTTGGGGTGCCTGGCTGGTTAAGCATCCGACTCTTGGTTTTGGCTCAGGTCTTGATCTCAGGGTCCTGAGACTGAGCCCCATGTCGGGCTTTGCGGTCAGTGCGGAGTCTGCTTAAGACTCTCTCTCCCTCTCTCTCTCTTAAATAAATCAATCTTAAAAAAAAAAAAATGAACGTATTTCCTACTTTATTTATCCCAGTCCAATGTATGCCCTAAGAACATCCTTTGCTGGAAGTGTTAACAGCCACTGTCCAATTGCAAAGGGAGGTGTTCAATACCTGATCTATTTTCCTACTTGTTCTATGAATCCATTAATATTAGGTCTCAGATTATCTCCTCCTACCACCTTCTATTTCCCCAAACTTCCAAAGAGTGGCAGAGCTGGGATTTCAGGGATTTAGACCTACGTCTGTCCACAAAACCAACTGAGCACACCAACTCCCTACATCTCTGTCGTGTGTCCCCTCTCTAGATCAAAGGGAGCAAATCAGAATGCCTCCAGTGGCCAGGCAGGCGGAGCAGAAGGGCAGGAAGCGCATGCGCATGTGTGTTACGTACGAATAGGACGGCAGGGAACTGGAGGGACTCAAAGAGACAGCAGTAATTCGGCTCCAGTGACTGCTATCATGTGTGATCTTGCAATTTTAAGAGAAATCAGAATTGCAAAATTTTATGTATACTCCTGAACATTAACATTCAACGTGAGTCCAAACTTACTTGTTTTAAGAGCACCACAGGGGTCAAACAGGTCACCAGCTCGCAACCTTTGTTAATGCACTGTTGGCATCATCTTTTAAACAGCTCCAGTTGGGTAAGCTAAATTCTGCAGGGTTATTTTCATTAAGTGTAACATCACCTTGGGGATGGGTGAGACAGAAGGTTCATTAACGCCTGAAATACTGTGGGTATGCTCTTTTTCAGGCAACCTAGAGGGACTCATGGACTGATACCATGTAAGGTAGAGCTGCTCACTTATGATCACGAGGTGCTTCTCTCCCCATGGGGCCCAGAAAACAAACTTCATTTCTTTCCCACAGCAGTAGTGATACCCCAAGCGGTTGCTTACCCGTTTGTCAATGTCATTGTGTTGGAGCTGCACAAAGCGGGCGCTGATGGCTGCAATGTAACTCTGCTGATTGGAGAACGCCACACGGCCAGCACCTTTGGGGTACTTCAGCTCTGGGTCCGTATCAATGCCGGCATAGCAGACACCACCGTACAAACGGTCCATGATCATTGCCAGTTCAACTGCAAGAAAATAAACACAATTCGGTATAAATGTTTAGAAGGTACTTTGGCCCAGGAGAAGGAAGAACTACTTAAAGATCATGCAGTATAATTAAGAAAAGGAAAACCCATGTTAGGTGTCATGAAGAGTGTCCACATCAGTCTTACAACTCAAGCAGGGGAACTCCTCATATTTAAAAATAAAATGAAAAAAAAATTAAGAATTTACACAATACACACACAAATTTACATAATCAGAACTTCAGCAACATTATAAAAGGAATGATCTATCAGCAGTCCTCCTGTTCTAATTTCTAACTGTTTAGTCCACTGGAGTGGGCCCTGGGCAGGCAAAGCATTTCAAACAACGCCCCAACAAGTTAATTATAAATAGCCCTATTTACTGACCTCTAAGACTGAAAGCAATTACTAAGTCACACTACTGTATTAAGATTAAGCTATAGAAAGAATTAACTGCTCATTTTAACTAGAGGCAATATATTTATAACCTTAAGATAAATCTCTACAATGAAAAATATGTATTTTTTTGTATATTCTATCCCAACTGAAAAATCTCCATACTAGCCTCTCACACTGAATTCTAAATAATAATAATAATAATAATACTAGAAATGATAAAGCAGCAATGAACATTTATTGAGCACTTACAATGTACTAGGAAACACTCAGCTGCTATGAAGGCAGTAAAAACATATCCATCCTGTACTCTGCTATAAATCCAGAGGTCTGGTCTGCACTCCTTGCCACATTTCTTCTAAATAGACCCTTATATGGGTATATTTACAAAACACCTATACAGAAGGCATTTGGAAATTGGACCATTCCAAAGGTCTGATATCCTAGAATTATCCTCACCATAAAGGTGTCAAGGAGAGACATGTAGCAGTTACTTACCTGGATCCAAATTGCCCGAAGGTAATTGTATACTTGATACTGGATGTCACTTCCTCCACGTATGACCATTTCTTTCAGGCTACTCATATGACTTAAGTTCAGAAGACTTAGCCCTACCCATGGGGAATGACCCAAGAACCCACTTCCCTCAAACACCTACATACGGTTATTTCGAAAGGAGAAGACAGGGTAGGTGGATGATGACCTGTGTCACAGCCAGTGTGCAAAGACCGTCACATCACACAACAGACCTCCATGGGAGAGGGACCGCAGCACAAGCCAGTGAGGCGGAGGAGGAACTTCGTAGCAGATACAAGAGTTGAAGGGCTGAACGGTATAAGAACCCCACCAGATTTCTATGGCCAGAAGGAAAGTCAAGCATTACTGGTTCCTGTAGTATGAAGCTGCTGAGCCGGTAAGAAAAGCTACGTTGCTATGACAGAAAGGATGTCTTTCTACTTAACTTCTTCAAAATTTCTCTCCATACCAGACCACGTAATACTGGTGATTGTTTTCTGAGTGCCTGTTTTTAAGAAGAATGATCTGCAACCAACAGATTCTGGAATTTTCAGAAGGTAAGAAAATAAGCTAGCAATAACTAAGCCCTAGAATAGGTACTTTAAGATAGAACAGCAGAAAGCTATCCCAATTATCCCATTATGATCAGAATTTCTCAGAATTTCTGAATCATATCAACCAAAGAACATTGCTGATTACAGCCCAAGTGGACTCTGATTGCAGTCTTGAGGCAGGATCCAGGAATCACATTCATTCAAATTATGCAATAAGAATCACGCGCATACCCTGAATGTCAGAGTTCAGTGCGTCCTCATACTTCAGCCCAACAGCCTCTGATTGCTTGAGGACTTCCTCACATGGCTAATTGTATTCCAGTAACAGAGACCAAGACATTGAAGGTAGAAATAATTCAATGTAGTCATTAATGAATCTCCTTTATTCGTCAATGGACTTACTAAAATAAGCAACCTCAGGAACTGGAAATTAAACACCAATTTTCCAAAGACCAGGCTTCTCATGGAATGGAATAAGAGAGTAAACACTCCATCAGCCTGGTGGACAGCCAGGAGAAGAATGCTGGCAAGGGGCTGAATGGCACTTGTCTTCCACCCTTAGAAAGGACTCAGGAATGCATATGACTTAGAAAGAAGGTATACCACCTGTAAGCTTGAAGCTCCAGCTAAGGAGGAGAGTTACTATAACCACAGAGTTACTAGAACCACAAGTTCTTCTACAGCAGAGTGGTCTCCAAAGGACTTTTAGGGATCCTTGGATGTCAGAGAAAGTGCCCTCCATAGAACAAACATTCTATTATTTCGTGAATCTAGCTGCTAGAAAATCATCTTCACATGCCAAAGATTAGGTCATGACTGACGTTGCTGGCAGTTAAGTATTTTTGATAGGAAGCAAACCTTCACTCACTTATGTTTTTATGAAAGCTAATTATAAATAAATCATTTCCACTTAGAACCTTATATACAGTCATTTTCTTGGCCACCAAAAAGCCTGCAGACATTTAAGCTAATGAAATCTCACTCGTGTGAAGGGCAATTTTTTGAGAAGCTAGAAGAAACCAAGGTGACTAAAGAGTTGTTTTGGGAAAGAGTATGAAGATTTCCCATCTCTCTTTCCACCCTAATCCATGTTTTAACTACAGAAGGTCTAATACTGTGATCACCCTTGAAGAAAAGTAAGTAATAGTCAAACAACTGCTGTTTATATTTGGTCCTTTACTCAGTCAGCAAATCTTCACTAAAAGCACACTTCCTGCAGGCTAACCTCATGCTGGGCTCTAACACCAGAGTGGTGTTATTTAGGTACTAAACAGAGTTTCGAATTTTTGAGAAAAGTAGCCATGCTTGGTAAAAACAGCATTTAAAAAAAGAAAAGAGAGAGAGAGACTAATTTAATTCATCCACAACATAGGTGACTAACAAGAAACAGAACAAGCCTTCCTTAAGTCCTAAAAATTTCTAATCTGAAACACTTTTGTATATAGAATATAAAAATTCACCTACAGATGTCAAAATATACAACTAGTTTTAGAGACTAGGTTTCAAAGGATTCTTTAAAGTGAATATCACCAGTTAGTACAGGAAAGTCTCATACAGATTCCCTTCCTCCGATGTGGGTGAAGCTGAGCCATGAGGAGGGCTACCCACTTTGACTACCTGGGAGAAGGAGAGAAAAATAGAAGAAAGGCAGTAAGGATCCAGCAGAAGTCAACTAAAACCTTCATGGATTTATCTGTATCTTGTGATCTCAACCCTCCTCATGAACTGTGAGCCTTTGATCAAGGATGTGTCTTATTCAGAAAATGTAGTCAAACTACCAAGTAAGCCTCTGACAGTGAATCCTCATTCTAAACCATCCTCTGTAGAAGGCAGGGACAGCGCAGCTGCCAGGAGCAGGGCATACAGGGGGAGGCTGGAATTCAGACAGATGGAAGTGACAGCAGGCATAGCCAGAGTCCATGTGGACATCAGGAGTTGTCAGACCACTTTCTATTTTTTCCTTCTTACCCAGACAGTGTTCAGAGGATCTGTCTGGTCACCACAGGGGTGGAAATGAGCAGGTATGGTAGCCATATCCAGTGGCATTTTGTACTTTGGATGAGATGCTCTGTGCTCCTAAGACAACTCAAGTCTTCTCATGAATGATTCTCATGAATCAGCAACACTACTGACTCTAATCTACATATTGGCTCTTGTGATGAGCTTCACCGTGCCACCGCTGGAGAGGGAAACAAGAATAGTGCAGTTGTGTGTAGCACATAGAAATCTATAAATTTCTCTGGGTTGTGGGCACTATGCCTCTGAAATTGAATCTAAACCCCAATTATGGATCCTTGGATTTGCTTCTGAATCTTCACAGAGATCTAAAAGGGACCTTAGTTCACCAGAGAGAAACTCATGATGACTCCTGCATCCTACCCTACACCGGGATCCTGTTTCTATCATTTAACTATATTTCAAAGCCAGCCATAGGCAGTGTCTAAGTCTGAGACACTATGAGAACCAAATGGGGTAGAGCAGGAATGAGAACTCCCAAGGGAAATATCAACACATTCATCATTCCAGATTCTAAACTGTGAATCTAGAAGCCAGATTTTCTTCCCCTTGGAAATAAGAACAAAGCAGACAGGAAAGAAGCATAAGGCACCTCAGGAGGATGAAGACGTCTGGACTTTGGAAAGAAAGCACAATTCAATTTAGAAGCTGGACTATCTAGGTTTTCCACAATTGCCGAGTTGGTTCACAAGGCAGTTCACACATCTTAAATGGAGGAAACATGCTCAAAAGGTTCCATTCTGCATCAAATGTTGGGAAGTTAAGAATATTTTCAAATAAGTGGTATGAACAACCAGCTAAGTTAGAGAGATTGAATGTTTAACTTGATTAAATCCGACTGGTACCAAGTTGACTGTTAATACTGTTACTGAGACAACATCTCAGATCTCAGCCTGATAAAGAAGCTTCCTTCTTCTGTGCAAAGAATATCCATACTTGAAGTCTGGAAATCTGAGTTTAAATCTTGGCATTTTTACTTATTGTAGCCTGGGCCAATCACCCCCTTTGAACTCTACTTCTTTATCACTAAAATGAAAAGTCTACCACTGACAGCCTCACAAGGTTATCATGATGATTAAACATACATGAGAGCTCTGAACACACGGCTCAGCACAGAGTGCTGCTCAAATGTTTAGTTTTGCCCACAGGGTGTTCTTCTCTCTACTCCTAAATTTTTGCTTAACATTAACTTGGCCTGGTTTCTGCTCCATAAGCACCAATTCGTCCCAGTCTTACTTTGGCTTTATGCTAATGTTACTCAACCTGCCAATGATGTTTGGCAAAGTTTGACATCAATCGTGGGTGAGCATTAGCTTTTCAGGGGGAAAAAGAACACAAGCAAGTACTAGCATTAGAAAATATCCTAAAGACAATCCAGTTAATCAAGTCAGTGTGCCAGATCTGGAGTTTATCTGGGACAACTCATACTGAACATGGGACTTGGTGAAAGAAAAAACTTCTACTACTGAGAAACCTGGTATGATTTCTGCCTGCTACCACTTTACAGAACAACAACAACAAAAAGGATATGGTTACGATACTCCTATTTCCTAAATCACAAATCAGGATGTGATTCTTAATACATATGAACTACCAGAATGTTTGTACAGAATGTCTGAAATAAATGCTCTTAGAAAAATTCAGGATGCTCTCTAAATGTACACCACATGTCACTGAATATTTACCTCAAGTTTTTTTTTTATTGTTTTGTTTTCCTCCCAGAAAAGCCATCCTTATAATAGAGGGGGAAAAAAAGGCAGACAAGAAAATTTTCAGGATCCATCACAGAATCTTAGTAGGGGAAAAACAGACAGAAAAGAATTATGAGAGCAATAGGAAAGGCAGGAGACCCAAAGATGAGCAAATGTGGGCTCCAGGGACTCAGATAAGCAATCTCTCAAGATTGATCTGTTCTGTAAGACCCGGTTAGAAGAAATGTCAGAAGGAAGTCATGAAGTGGAAGAACAGCTCACATGCCCCTCATTAAAGAGGAAGTCTGAGGGTTTTCCAAGCATGATTAAAGTTGGAAGTGGATGGGTCCCAAAGCTTGATCACTGAGGCAGTCCTCAGATTAGATATCTAAGCCTCTTGGGGTCAGGGTCTAAGCTGGGGTCAGAACACTCATGTTTATAAACTGGGGGAGCATACAGGAACCAGATGCTTCATTCTCCACCTTTTCCTGGTGGCCTCCTCATAATCCCTAAGCCTGGCACTCATTTCCTCTCAGAGCAAAGAGATGCATTCTAGAGAGGTCCTAAGGCCACAGGGAAATACAATAGGGCTATTTCTGAATTGAAGACATGCTGTTTACATTACTTGAATAAAGAGTGGCAACATGCTGTTGTACTTTCAGGTGGTAGCAAGTAGAGAACCAGACAGACTACCCCTTTCCTGGTACTGACTCTCTGAAGAATATGTAAACTTTAGCCACATGATGGCATGGTGAGTCTACCTATAGCCTTTCCTAGGATGAGGGTGGGAAGAAGTGGTGAGTGGAAGAACAAGACCTGAAGAACACCGAGAGACTCAAGGCAAACCACCCTTGACTTGCCACTGTCACTGACGAGCGATGGAAGGGAGGGACAAGAGACAACAGGAATGTGTATTATTTAACCTAGAGCAACCAACAATCAGGCAATCTAACTTTGGGTAAGCATCTAGATTTTCCATTGATATTTTCCCATTTTCAGGTATTTTTTTAAGCCTATGATTTTTTTTTTCTAACCTGAATTTTAAAAAGGAAGCCTTGTCAAAAAGACTGGAAAGACCAACTTAAATTTAGCCAGGGCAATATTGCTTAAAACAGCTTGCCTTCTTTCTTTAGAAGGGTTCGTGTGTTTGTTTGGTAGGATAAGGACTATATTTAGAATAATTTATTAGTGATAATAGTCCCTGTCTAACAATGGGAAGATATCAAAGAGAAAAAGCCTCACAAGATACAAAGGAATAATTCTTGAGTGATAACATTTTAGTCACTGTAACATGTTAAAGGACAATTTTTGGCCTAGGGTGAGGTGAAAATCAATCTGGACACCTAAACATCTCACCTGTTGAGTACTATTGAACCATGTCTAGTCCAGGATCACCCTACATACAGTGCCTTAGATAGTTTTAAGACTTTTCAGAATTTCATGACCACAATACCGTCTAGAAGTAATAAAAATTGCCCTAAAGTATTTAAAAACCAAATCTGAGAATCACTGTGTTGAAGAATATAATTTAGTGTCCAATTACTTCTGAGTTAGCATTCTATTAATACATTTCTTGTTTTCTTCTCTTCTGAAATCTCTGACTCTGTAGATGATGACCTGTTTAACACGACAGTGGGATGTTCATTCAGTTTGGCACGGACGTGTACTTGCTCTGTGCCAGTAACACGTGGATGCTCAATAAATGTTTATTGTTCAAGTGAACTGCATTGTATTCAATTCAAGACTGCCTAGCAGAGTCAAAATGAATTCCTTTAAAAATAGTCTTCTATTCCAAGGCACACACCAGTCCACAAAGCTCAGTGTGTTGCAAAGAAACCCAATTCTATGCACATGGATAAAAGCTGCAGATGTTAATTCTTTTTGTTTAGATTACATGGATTCCAATCTGGAAGGCTTGGATGGAGAGTAACATGATAAGATGCTAATATCGATTGCTTAGCCATCTAGAAACTAGCTACACTTATGGGAGGTGTTGGCATGGAGGAACATTTTCACTAGACCACGTGAATGTAGATTACTATCCACACAAATGTAAAACAAAACCATTTTAAAACAAAAAGCTTTAGCTCAGCTTAAAAAAAAAAAGAACTTCGAGACTTATAAAAGGTATACTCTCTAGGTAGGGAACACAAAATCCCATTTCTGACTAGACAACTAAATATAATTCTTGTCTAATCCTAGGACTTGCAGCATCTTGTGAATAATAGTAAAAAGGGAATTTAGTTTCTAAACTTTTGTGTCTGTGACTTAAAAACAGACATAAAAAGTTAAAGCCAGTTCTGTTATTTTTAGAACTGTGGGACTTTTTCTTTCAGAATTTTGTTTTTTTCGGATCCCCATCTAGAAAAAAAAGGAGAGGGACTAGAATCTGAAGACTAATTTGTACTTGTAGTTCGCTGCAAAAAAAAAAAAAAAAAAAAAGAACTAGAATGCTAGCAATGACTGTCCATTCTTTTAGAATACATATGCGATTAGAAGACTGTCAAAGGGGATTCTTCTCCCTCTCTCCTCCCAAACATAACACCAGTTAGAAAAAGACAGGAATATTCCATGCCCCCACCCACATTTTTTTTTTTTTAAACACAAGCAGTTTAGAAACAAAGGGCTACATTTGCCCTCATCTCATAATGCTGTTCACGTTTGCGTTAGCCCTTCCCAGACTCTATTCTCTGACAGCAGATAAAAGGGAGGCATCTCTGCCGCGTGCCTTTCTTCCTCTCGGCACAGTTTTCCATTAGAGTGAGAACAAGACCTAAAGATATTTGACTTTCTGAAAAACTGTAAAATTACAAACTTCATAATCATAATTAATGTGTTATAAAGTCCTTCAAAATGGAATTATGAATATATCTTTAGATAGGCCTACGGTTATCTTTTAGGAGTACGCTGAAGCTGAGATTTGAAAAAATACATTAGAAATGTTGACGAACATTCAGAACTAAGAAGTCATCAAAGTCAGAGACAATTAGCTGTAATTCTTTTTTATAATTCTTTTTTAATTCTTTTTTTCACTACTTGATTTTAATGGTCCCTGATTTTTCTTTTCTTCTTTAGGTAGAACTGAGTCAGCTTGCTTACAAATAACAGAGAGAACATTGCACTTTTGCAACTACAGGGCAATAATAACCTTATTTTTTCATCTTACTTTTGAAAAATGAACTCAATTATTTTAAGCACTTTAAAAACTTCGTTCTTACAAATAATTTTATTGTATTCTACTGTTAGTACGCTGATCCGCAACTGATTACATTTATCTTTGGATTTAAATATTGAAGTCATTGGCTCAGCATCACTTCAAATGCCCCAATTAATTATGATTCCACCCAATCTCAGCCCACAATTATTTTGTCATTGGAAAGAAACTTAAAAAAGAAAAAAATAGGGAAGCTTTTAAAAAGTCGTAATAAAGATGTTCAAATACATTAGTCATTTTTCAAAGTGCATAAGAAAAACAGGAATCTGTTTCACTTGGGAAGAGTTCAGTTTGATTCCCAGCGACACAATTCCTAGCAGTGGTTTGGCTTGTCACTGAGGGGTACACAGCTGTGCTGGACAGATTTCTGATGGGGTGACTTCTTTTTCTGTCACACATAACAATGCTGACTAGCATGAGAATGCACACTGCCAAATGTATTGTTATTATTTTTAAAATACGTGTGGCTGAGAGCACTGAATAGAATTCATCCTTTCAAAATAACAGTTTAATGAAACTGACTCTTGTACCGTAAGAAAATAAAGCATTTGGGGAGAAAATGTTTAATCCTGAAAGAGTTAGCTCAGTGAAACTTCTTTTTGGAGACTGTGTATAGCTGAGCAGAAATCTAGAAAATATTGAAGACTAAATACATTGGGGATTTTGTTGTTGGTGGTTTTGTTTGTTGTGGTGTTACTATTTCCACTCACCAGCTCGAAGGGGTCGTGGAACTCCCCCAACAAAGATAGTTTTTCTGGGGTCCAAAGGCTGAGAACCATCCATTACAAAGTCACTGTCACTTAGGTTCCATGGTCGAATTTGCACCTGAAAAAAAGTCGTTTACTTGGTCCTTACTTCATTTCCATCAACCCCAAATGAGAATAAGGTGACTAAAGACAAACCCACTGATTTGTGCATTTTACAACATACATAACCCAAACAAAATCCAGTTATTAATTTGTGTAATCTGCATTAGGTGCCTTTCAACAGAACTCGGGGAATCTACTTACAGGTACTCTACTCAACACTCTAAGACATATATCATGAAACCTTCAGAAACCACGGTTCTGAAAAAAGGCAGTCTTTTAGAGACAGACTCGGGGTTTTGAATCAGATCCATTTTAACACATGATAGACGGTTTATAACCTGTCACAGTTCAGCACTTAGCTTTTTAAGAGCTCACCTAAAGAAAGGGAACAGGAACATTAGGAATATTTTCTAAAATTATCTATATGTCTGGCTTTTAAGTTTTTATCAACCCCTAAAATTGAAACCTTTATCTTTCAGAAATACGGTTTAACACAGATCAACACTCATCAGGTTAGCATGGAATTACCAGCTGTATCAAATACTGAAGCACATAGCATTATCTATTTTTGATTTATCTGATTATCCTAAACAAGTTTGGTTAAATAAAGGTGAGCCTAGAAATTGAAGTGACTTTGCAAAGAGTAGAAAAAGAAATCTTTATGGACATACTTCTTTCTATTTGGTAATATCTCTTCACTTGTACTCTGACTTCCTGCCTACAAAAAATAAGGTATTTCATAGAATCGTAACCTTAAAACATATTCCTCTCAATTCCTAACTCAATCATTAAAGAATAGCTTAAAACAAAACCACAACAAAAGGGCTCCCATACCAAAAGGAGAGCTTCAGTACCGCCTGAGACCAGTCACTCAGCGGGCCGGGTGCTCTGGGAAATGAGCTAGGTGTGGAAGCAGAAAAACCAGCGTCTATCTTTCGGGAACACGCCTCTCCTTTCTCAGTCGCACCAAGAGGATAGGAAACAAAACAGCTGAATTTTCATTTCCTTAATATCAACACAATTCTTCATTTCCCCCATTGCTCAAGTGTCAACACAATGCAAAAAAACCCACATAAGATGATTTCTTACGTGGCTTGACTTGTATCTAGAAGTACTCTCATTTGAAAGGTAGTAAATCTATCAATTATGGTGTCAAAACACCTTGAATCAACTCTAGAACTGGCATTGCTCAGTTAGAAACAGTCCGCACATTCCTTATGATTGCTACCAAGTTCACCCCCCCACCTAACCTTTTGCCATTTATGACACTGCCTTCAGCAGTTAGTGAGAAGCAGTAAAATCTCTATTTCTTCCCTAGACCCTGAAAACATGGACCTGTTTGCAATTCTGCTAACATTTGTGCATTTGCTCCACCTTTATCATGTGAAAAAAAAAATCCTTGTTCTTTCCTTGAAACATCTGGTCTGTTTGACTAAATTACCGTTCCCTTGACATTTACCACAAAGGCAGATTCACGAATACCATAAAGCACCACTTTTAAATCCCTTCTTGAGGGCCCACTACAAATTTTTAATTAAAAACATAATTTCTTCATACTGTAAGAACAAAGATTCTAATGTCACCAATAACAAAAAAGTAGGACATATCTTTTTCTACACAGAGCACTCTTTTCTTCCAGTCTTACCCCTGATAAATTTAAGGCAGCTTCAGGACCTGGTAAGGCAATTCCAATCACTTAATGATAATGAATTTAATTGTGGGTCACTTTGTTTCACAAATGAAAACAAATCCCTAGTAGTATCCATGGCGTTCTGGTTTCATTTAATCAGAAGTACAGAAAATGCAGCCTCCTATAATAGCTGTAGGTTACGGCTGCTCAAAAGAACTCTGCAGAAGATCTCAAACCTTCCCGCTGAGAGCTCTCATTACTGCCTCTTCTCCTGCCCACCCTTGCTTCTTTACATCACACACAACCCATTCCCTTAGCCTATTCTTGTATTGTAGATTAAGTAAAGATACAGGAAGAAGACTCAAAAGACAGTAATTATTAAACCCTATTCACGGAACCTGCATTTCCCAGCTGACACCAGAAAATAGCTCCTCAGAGCTCCCACCACTACAGAATCAGAGAAATGTCAACATAGGCCAACATCAGCACATTCTACAAGTTAGGCAAAAAGTAATACTGTGGTGCTGTTTGCACTCTGGTGCACACTCTGGTTTCTCTCTGAAATATAAGCCCACTCTCACATAAGGCACGTTCTCCATCTTCTAAGTTTATTCTCAGCCCTCAGGGCCTGATATCCATATCTTTCTGACTTACTCTTTGAGTATATTTTCTGGTCCTTATTTATATATATAGATATTTCTCTACTTTTTAAATACCATGCTTTCTAAGCTGACTCAAATATACTATAGAAAGGGGTGGAATACAAATAAAAGAACTGCTTTTTGCCTGTCTTCTTTTCTTTAATGATTATTTTTGAGAATGGATGAAATTAGAGCTCTGTTCTAATACGATATAAACTTCCCCCAGCAAAACAACCTTTACATATATGGAGAGCGCTGTATGTATGTATGAAACAACTCTTTCAGTATGTTGTCAAATAAGCTATACTCTGGGGAGTAAGAAGAGCCCCAACATCCTGAGGGTTGGGAGTATAGGGACTTCATCAGACATGGTGAAAATACCCTTAAATGAGCCTGACAGTGATTCCAACACCCCTTCCTGGAGAAACCTGTCCACATTTGCTTAAAAAGGTCACTCTAGAAAGAGGCACGGCCCGTAGCCCTTCAGCCATGCCATGTCCTCAGAGCAGGGGTTATGCAAAATCAAATGTCCATAGGGATGGACAGGTAGCATAAATTTATCAGCCACCCAGACAACAGTTGTTACGCAGGCAATGACACACTGGAGTAAAACATTCCTTTTAAAGGAAGCAGACACTTTTCAGCTCCATCAAGTACTTATCATTTGTGAATGTACTGTCAGATTTTTCCATTTTGCAAGAGTAGCTAGAAATTCAGATTTTTATGTGAAACTTCAAGATTTTAAAATGTTGAGAAAGAATTCAAATGTTAAAGCCACTGTACACCTAAACCAAACTAACTGCAGACCAGATCTATCCTGTGGGCCCCAGACTTGTGATCTCTGACTAGAAAGGTTTACTTACCCCACAGCTCCCAATGGAATGTTGCCTTCCATAAGCACTCATGAGAGAAAAGACAAAAATGGTTTTTCCGTAGTTTCTTTTTTAATTGCGTATTCCTATGGAAACTCTGGTGAGGACTGTGAAACCTATTCTTTGGTTGAATTATTTGCTTCTTAATTCTTAAGAATTAATAATCTGAATTATTATCTGAATTTATAATCTTCTTTGCATAATTGCTTATCTTCAAAGGCAAATCTTTTTAAGGATAAAGGCAAAAACCAAACATAAAGGTAGTGCTATCAATATATCAATTTATGCCATATAGTAACTCTAAAAGCCTTCAAGAAACCTAAAAGAATGTAACATTAATCATATCAACAGTAATGAGAGCACTCATTTTACTTTTCAAGGTTTCCCAATGTGTGTTCTGTGAACAGCAGGTCCGGAGGCATGTTCTGCCAGACAAGCAGTGTTTAGGAAAAGTTACAGGCTATCTCTTCCTTCTTGGAGTTTCATGGCACCCATTGGTGTATATTTAATCAAAGGCTCTAAGAAGTTCTACAGGAAAGAAACCTGTTCAAATGTGCTTTAATCCAGCATTTCCAAAATTTTTTTTCGTAACACCTATTAATATCCACACTTTGGATAATACTGCCCTATTATATTTTATTCTTAGTATGTATCAAAATATGGCATAACAAGGTTGAACCAACTGAACAAAATGTAGAAACTTCACTCCAATCAAGGCCTTTTCTCGCTTATTTCCTACTATTGCTCTAAAAGGGTTGTTCTGGTAGAAATTAACTTTAAGGGGTTAGGAGTATAGTAAATATAAACAATAGCTGTTCAAAGAATTGAAAGCTTTCTGACTAAATTGCACAAAAGAGACGTTTGATTATTTTGATATCAACGAAGAATAAAGTAATTACAGTTCCATGTAAAAACTGAAGCTTCATCCTATTTAAAACTAAGAGTCATTAATAGGGATAAGATCAGGCCAAGTGCTAGGAAAAAAAAATTAGGTAATAGAGTATGGAGTATGGGTCACTTATTTTGACAAGAAGCTATAAGATCATTTTCTAAAAAATAAATTTCTTTGAAAATTTCCAAAAGCCTCTAAGTAAAAACTCAATATAAAATGCATTTTTATTGTATCTTTAATAACCGGATAAGAGAAAACACATAGCTTTAATAAGAACAATTTTTTAACATAAACCTTAGGGCTTTAAATCTCCTTACATGACCAAGCCACCCTATGGCTCTAGAATTCTGTTTAGACACAATTTAGAATTTAGACACTTACCTACCAGTAAATAATAGTATCTTGAGCTCATTTTGAACATCTCACCTACATTTCATCCTTGTCTGGTCATCTCCTTAGGTTACAAACATCCAACACATGCACGTCCTACTGCATAGTGCCTTCCTTTTCATCTATTCCTCTTAAGACAGCTCCACAAAGCAACCAGACTGTTCAGAGTCAACAGTGCAATCTGGTGGCTAACCCAGGAAACTACCTGATCAAAACCCCCTTTCTGCTATGTCTTCTTTCCCATGAATTTCCCATAAAGCACATGGCCTAGCCTCCCTAACCCCAATTTCCTCTTTCTTTTTTCAATACCCTTCAAACTCCTACTCAGGAGAAGGTCTCCCATTTTTCTCTCCCTAGTCATACAATCCTTTCAATCTACATGACTCACAAAAGCAATACTGCAGAACCATCAGGACTGCTCTCCCTAGCAAGCAGCAGCATCGCAGCTCTTCTGACGGCCAGGATGAGTCAGCTAAACTTAGGTGACATACAGCTGCAACAGCTCAGCTGTACTGGTAATGAACTCAGGCCCACCCCAGCTGTCAGCAATTCTATTTTAAGCATCACAGACCTCACAGAATGACCGGAGTG